AGCAAGAAATATCCACACTGCTGTTGGTGTAAGGGACGCTGTAGGAAATAACAAATTCTGTGTAGAACAGAAAGGTAAAAATTATGGTGGTTGTGTCTGTGATCCGATGTTGCATTTCCAACTGTGTTTAGCTCTTGATGCCTTGCAAATTATCATTTGCTTGATTGCCTCCAGCTTACTTAAAGTTCCCTCTGAGTTTCAACCAATATAATGTTTTCTCCTTCCTCCCCTAAGTGCTTTGTGTTGCTGCTATATGTTGTCATGTAATACCTCAGATGAGTATCTCATCACAAATAATGAAATGTTGGCAACATTTGCTGGTAGAGTATGGAAGCTGCCCTTAAATTGTTCGTTTTCAAACAAACTGAAATATATGAAATTTAAAGATAAAATCTTAATGGGGCCCAACCATTGATTAATGTAAATCTGCTTACAAATTGCTGACGCAAATGGGAAACCTCTGATTTACATCAACTGAGAATGTGGCTGGTGAAATTAAAAGAAAATAAAGGGTTTATGGATCTAGTGGTGCTGGTCTCTTAATGTCAGCACAAACTTTCACCCAAGACCTCATCGCTGTTAAAATGTAACTCTGCAGTGCCCGAGGGGTCAGGCTATTCCAGACACTGCAACACTGTGGTACCTCCTACAAAACAAAAAGGAGCAGAACCATGTATTCTTTAATTAAGCCCTGGATCAAGTCTTCCGCTGGGGTGGTTTGGCGTAACTCCATATACTTCAAAGGCACTAGATTGATTTACAGTGGCTGAGCACATGGTCTTGTACTAATGCGTACTTCTGTATATTGGAATCGTGTTGCTTGCTTTAGAATATATAGCTCTCTTCAGAGCCATAAATAGCTTAACACTGATCAGACAGAATTTGTTCTAAACAATATGAGGTAGCAAATTGAAGACTATGCCAAAATTAAAGAACAGGACAGGTTAATTAGAAGAATGGTGTATAAGGTGTTTTTTGTTGTTTGTTTGTTTGTTTGTTTTTCCTTCTCTCTCTCTCTTTTTTTTTTTTTTTTTTAAATCACAGTGCAGTATCGATCTAGCCAAAATGCCTGTTAAAAAGGTGGCTTCAGAGCAGGCTAGGGTAGCTTGTGCTGAGTTTTCGCACTATTGTATCTGGAGAGCTTGATATACTCTGCTGTATCCGGAAAATACATTGGGCATCTGTAAGTGTTCTCTCTTGTACATTGTGGAGTACTATATTATACTATACTGCAGCTGCTTGCATGTCTGCATGCTTGCCAGCTTCAGAATCAAAGGTGTTGTACGCAGCTTATTTGCAGCATCCATGTGCAGGCACTTTGCTCTGTGCTTGGGTTTTTTTCAATTTTCTTACTTTTTATATATTTATCTGCTCCTTTCCTCTCTCTCATTTGCAGCATCAGAGTGTCACTGTGTCCTGGATGAATATAAAGAGTTCATCTTTCTTTTGGCCCCTGAAGCAGATAGTCTGTAAAATGTGCCTTCAGGAGGCAAGCAGTCCCAAAGACGTTAGTTATTGCTCCTTTTCCAGACAAACATCGATGGCCTAAACCTCTGCCTAAGAGCATGTGGACCCCAAGAAAAGAGGCAGTGTGCTTGCCCCCACTGTTCATGTCAGATGTGCCAAAAGTCTTTTCAGAGAGTTCTGTGCTACTGTGGTCCAGTGTCTGCTTAATTTAGTCTGGGCTACTCTGTTCCAAGCTCCCAGAAATGGAGGTCTTGTCTATGCACTTTGCTAAACACTTGCGGGTGTTTTAATAGTGTCATAGTCATCTTAGTGTTTCCATGTGCTGATTTTTGTGGTGTCACATTAGCAAAAGGAGTATTGCATTAACATATTCTTTTCCCGTTTTAATATAGGAGGTACATTTGATTTAAATAAGCTTAGCAAAATAACGCAAGTTTGTATTTTGTTCTGGTTTAGGCCATGTTTGGGTATGAAAGACAAATATTAAGTCTCTGCCCAGGCTGGTCCCATCTTACAGTCACCAGCAGTCTGCTTGTTTAAGAACAGGGCTGACTTAATTCGATTGCAGAAGGCTGCCAGAAATATTGATGACTCTTTGAGAGAGTAACCCGAAAGACAGACTTGCAAGATGATACCACAGTATCTATTATTGGCAGAAATACAAACCTTCAAATAATAAATGAGCCCTTAACATCTGTCCGGTTGCTGGTTTTCTCGGGGGCCTGGTGATTGGGCTGCGTACAATAACATGCTGGCCTTCTGAGAAGCCTACGTCAAAATTAATGGTTTCATCAGCTGGCAGGAACAACTAAATAATTGGGCACACCTGAGACTACCCTAAAGGGCTTCTTTATGCTTAGCAAATCCTTTCTGACTAGTTCCAGTAAAGCGCGTATCGTTGAAAGCTGGGTGTTGCAAACTGGATCAGAGAATGTTTGGAGTGTGTGAGAGCTTGAGCATAGGCATCAACAACACAACTGAGTATCAGGAGTGGATAAGGAATCAACTTTTAGAAAAAGCTGTGTCAGGCTTTACTTGTTCTGTATTGAATACTTTACAGGAGATTAGCCTGGCAACCTAGCAGCTATGCAGAAAGGTGTAGGGGCAGCCTAAATTAGGTCAATTCCATTTTGGATGCAACCTGTGTTTAGAGCCTTAATCTTAGGTCCTGATGCTATGGAAGTAAATCAGTATTGCCTTAGCCTTCGGTAGCGTACTATTTAGAAAGTTACTTTATTTTTTTCTGTATTCTGAAGCTCTCTGTTAGATTGCTTACATTGGGCAAATAACCCTAATTGCTGATAGCAGCAATAGAAATATTTTCAGATGTTGCAGTTTAAGGTGTATTTTCTTTTTCTTCCTAGAGACTCAATAAATTTTCATCTGAAATTATGATGATGTGAATAACCAGTTATGCTCTGAAAAATGTGCTTTAAGTGTTTCTGCAAGAATAGCTGAGCTCCTAAATTATTTGGCAGTCTCAAAAATGTCTTTGCCTCCACTAATGAGCTGTATGATAACAATCTCTTACTCTCTTTCCAAGCCTGTAGTATTAGGTGTGAATCTTCCACCTGATTGAGAGCACACTGGAATTAACAGCAAGTCTGTGAATTGCAATTACCTTAGGCATTAAAGGGTAGCTGGTGTACAGGCTAGTACAAAATTTCTCATTGTATGAGGTCAAGACAAACATATGTCTATGAAATAGATCTTAAGGAGTAAATACACTGTCTAGTAAATTGCTTGTGTAACAAGAAGGTCCCCAGCTGTTCCAGGAGCCTGTTTCCCAGCCTGGCCCACAAACACTGCTGGCACAATGCAGCAGTGACATCTTTCTTGCCGTCTCTCTTCTTATAGACGTCTCTGGCCAAAATATCCCTTTGCACTGAGCTTCAGATCATCCTGTCCCTACTGCTGCTGATTGCTTCTGTTTAGTCATTGTGCTGTGCGAAGGGTAACTCTGCCTTCCTCTGACGGTGAAGACTTTCATGTCCTCTGAGTCTCTCAGGAAATGAAAGACTGGGACGGCTACACTACTCACCCTCAGGGCCTTTAAGAAAGGTGAGAAGCTGAAGTGAGATGAAGCCTGAATAGATATGCTTCTTTTTTAGCAGAAATTGAGAACAGATTTTGTTCAACAGATTTACATGTTTCTGTCTTTCCCTTGAAGTGATTGTACACCAAGGAATGCCAGTTTTTTTTGTGTTTTGTTGGTTACTTTTCCCCTAAGAGAGCTATTTTAGCTCCAGAATTTATGTGCTTTGTGCAGAATTCACTGTGTGAGGTTCTTTGGGTTATGTAGGAAGTCAGTTTTGGTTATCTTAATAATAATTTTTAGCTAGTTTGAAATATCTAGCAGGTTGAGTGCCTCTCTTGTTTTTTTCATTGTATACACAAGAAAGATCTGGAAAGCAGTCCTGTCAGGACTAAATGAATTTGTGTGAAAATCCATGCAGAGACTTCAGGCACCAGAACCCAGACCATTTTCCATAAATTAAACGACAAGTATTGGTGAAGTTAGCACAAAGCATGATAAAGCTGCAACACATCACATCATTAGGTGGCTTTGTACAGTGACTGGAACTTTGTATGTCTGTTTGAAAACATAGGTCAGCACGGCTGTTTAAGATTTTACAGTGTTTTTCAGAAATGTAGCCAACTTGTTAGTACATATAATGTGACTTTTGAATGTTTGTTTGGGTTTGACACCTTATTTTGATTTGCTAATCATGGACAATTAAAAAAAAATCTTCCTAAAAAGGTTTTTTGTGTTCCCCCCCCCCCCCCTTGTTCTTTAAATTTGAAATTGTGTTTATGAATGCAATAGGGAATCCTAGCTAGGCAGTACTGCGTAACTTTCTGCTCAGTGTAATGGCACTAAATGTTGAGCCACCTGACTGATCTCAATACAGTGTCTGTTCAAAAGATTACAGGGCATAATGCTGGGAATTAAGTAGCCTATGTTTTATTCGGAGAACTAAAAATAGGCAGTTCACCTCACTTGTTAGTCATTGCCTTAAAATGATGATAGTATTCAGCAACCTTTATAAATCATGGATGGCTTTTAATGTAAAGACCTGTACAAGAGCAAAAGTACTCATTCAGCAGAGAGACCTAGAGATGGCATTTATTGTTAGAGAGAGAAGATGATTTAATTGCCTGGGCCGTGGTTATGAGCAGTAAGGACTAAGAAAGCAAGAAGAACATTTGGGAGCGTTGCTTGGCGTCTCTAGGAACAATGGCTCAGAAGTCACCAAAGATGTCTGTACAATTCTGACCTCTGAGTGGAAGACAGAAGTTGTGCCACGCTGCGCTTTGGTGTACTATGTTGTGGTTGTTATTCAACACGTATATGAACCTGCAGCAGTAGTTATGTACGCTCTGTAGCAGGTGAAGCTGGAATGGAATAAAATGCATGATTTAAAAACAGGAACTTCTCTCTGCAGATACACTGTCCAACTTTCTGGTGGCC